TTCCAGTTTAGTCTTCGCCTTTTCGGCGCTTATCTTACCATTTTCAGCATAATTCTTTGCCCTTTCGGATTCAGCAAGTTTTTGAAGTATTTCCTTCATTTCATTGGCGTCGATTTTGTTTTCCTTTTTGATAGCGTCTTTATTTTTTTTTATTCTATTTAACTCATGAATATTTTGATCAAGAGTTTCTTGTAACTCACCAATTTCGTAATTTTTCCGACGTAGAAGGTTTTCGTATTGCTGCTCAAGTTCGTGTATTCGTTCTTTCCGAATATCCAATTCCATCTGCATTTCTTTTAAATTTTCTCTACTTATGTTCCATGATGCAATGCTGTTCGAACTTGAGGTGCGGCTAAAGCTGCTTGAAGAACGCGATGTTAATGAAGATCCATTTGGACTATTCCCTTCAGAAATTATTCTATTCAAACGCTGGGATACTGGAGCACGAACAGGTGAGACAACTTTATTTGGCACAATTGGCATTGTGTATTTATGTATAAATAAATAACCTATAAATGGCTTATGATGATGCAAAGGTAAAAAAATGTAATTTACTCACGATTTTGTGCTTTAGAAAACTCTAAATATGAAGCTTATAAAAATTTTTATAACGTATAAAGTTTCTTAAGACTCTTGTATATGTGAAGGTGGCAAAAACTGTGAAGTGATTTTTAGATATTATTAGCTAGGAAACAATACCTGAATATAAAATTTTGTCAAAAATAAATCAGGGAATCAGAAGTAAATTCGTTGTTGATCTAACTAAATGAGTGGAAACATATGAAGTATCCTTATAGTTGTACTCATCGTACACTAATGTGTTTGAATTCTCAAATTTATACTAAATCCTCCGTGTCTTTTTGGTATATTATCTACACACTTATTCCTTCTAAATGTATACATATATATATAACCTTAGAAAAAGGATTAATTGCAATAATGAATAACCATAAATTTTAATATAAAGAAACCAGCCTCAATCAATTTATTAGAACAAGAGGGAATTGCAGATGTAAACAAGTACTGTTATTAAAAGGCAAAAATAGGAAATCATTTCGACACTGTAAATAGCAATAAATTGACACATGTAAAGTGTAATATTAGGCATAGAAATCATAGATCATCCCTTTGATACTTTAATGTATTAACTAATAAAGAAAGACATAAATGATGCCAAAGTTATATCTAAATTAAATTTAGATATGTGCACATTCCTTATGTCTGTCATCGATAATACAAATGGGCACTCCTCCTTCCTTCCTCAGTAAGGTTGAGGCAGTAGGTGAGAAACACTACTATATTTGGTTTCAATTAAAACAATTTCCTTACTTTTTCTCCTTCAATGAAGTAATTACTTTATCGAATTTGTCTGTATTATAAGCTTCAGCCCAGTAAAAATTACGGTGGTACCCCCGCACTCTTTGGAAGATTATGGGTACGGGTAATGTTCTCAATTACCCTGTCAATCATTCAATAAATAGTTCATTAAGTAAGGGTTGTTTTCTGCGATTTTAGTGCATTCTTCGAGCGTCTGTGGAACCTGGGATGGGCCTAACGCGGCCCCGTAGGCACCCTTGATTTCTTCATATGTAAGACCCAACTCCACACCAAGGGAGAGCGCTGTTTGAATTTGGGTAAAGATCATTTCAAATAAACGACTTTTTGAGTGGTCGGTATCGTTTTCATCGTCATCGGTATCTTCATAAAGGTCCTCCTCATTAGAACCGCCGTCATCAGGCTGGGCTGCCGCTTTTTTGGCACTACTCGATGGGTTAACCGATGGTAACGCTTGGTTTTCCAGATTCCGAAGTTTATCATATTCAGCCCGTGCAACTTCAATGCGCACGGCCTCGTTGTAAGCGTCCTCGGTAGCCTCTAGCTTAGCCTCAAGGACCTCATTTGTCTGTAAATCACAGTACTCTATGGCAGCATGCTTGGTTTCCACAAAGCAGGGTACACCTTTCTGACTGGCCACCGCCGAGACGTAAAAGGGAAAGTTTTTCGCGAAGTCATTTTGCCAGTTTCTCTCATCACGCTGACTCTTCGCATAATCCACAATCTCGTCGATGTTGATATCATCAATTTGCATGAGGGCTACGTACCCAAAAGAAGTGTCCTTGGCTCCGACCACTATAGAGTTCTCATCTTCCTTCCAAGAAATGAAGGTGAATGGGGAAATTGGTTTTATGTCACCCATTTTATCGTGAGTTTATATGAGAAATTTATACTTTAAAATACTATAATTTTTATTATTATTGATAAGAACCCTTATTATAAATTAAGGTACTTAGAGAAATCACAAGAACTTTTGTTACCAATAAATAATGGATAAATATGAAACAATGAGTAAAAAAATGTTTTGGAAGCAATATAATGTCTCAGGAAGCTAAACAAGGGAACTTTATAACACTATGCCGACTTTTACAAGCTTAGAAAGGTATATCAAACATGACAAACGCAATGATGTTGAACATATTCAAACATACATGATAACGGTGCTTGCCAAAGGGTATAGAAATCCTTTAAAACGTCTATTTCGTAGCGGGGACACAAAATATATGGTGCCCAAACCCTGGTCTTCCATTTGAGTTGATATAAAAATTACAATCGCTACGATGGTAATCCAAACACAATGCATTACCTTTTGTTGTATAACTATGCCATCCCCAAAAGAAGCATTCACTGATCCTCTCTTGTCACTTTTAATTCCAATTTTATAGATTCCCTCCCTTGTTATGTACATAGTAGTGTGGGATATCAAACATGGGAGTGCACTTAACGGTAATAGCTTTAGATTGTCACGTGTTTCTGAGGTCCACTGCGCGGTGAAGAGAGGTTCGAAAAATCCACCCTACCACCACTTTTGCCCTTTGGAAGCAATAAAGGGAGCGACAGAAAAATAAAATTCTGTCATGTTTCTATCCTTTGTGTATCCATCTCACGTCCCCCATAAGACACTTTTATATTACGCATACACACCAAATAAAACGAATTCAAAGGTTTATGAAAAACTAAAAGGTTGAATACGCATGATAGAGAATCTAAAATTTCGCCAAGAAGTGAAATTAAGGTTAGACCTCATCGCACCTCTTTCACGGGTGTTGCTGAAAAACATCACGCTATCTGTCAGTTCTGTGCAATAGCGCAGCCCTTTCCAGATCTTAGTCTCCAAAAAGAAACCAACTCACCTGAATAGATATGCATAAGGTATATAATATAAAAATTCATTGAAGCTACAAGGTCTGAACATATTCACAGAGTGATATAAAATTGCAATGATATAAAAGGTATAGAAAGACGTTCCTTAGGTTCTAAGGCTTCTTGGTGTAGCCGGTACGATAGGTCTAGCTCATGGCAGGGGGTTCACTCAAGGATGAGGAGAAACAACGGACCGTCGCCTGTCCAGTGGACTCTGAATCGGTCGTGGTAAACCAACAGCAAGGTGCGGCCTCATCTTCTTTCCCATTAGTGATGTCGTAAATACATGGCATGGTGATCCGAACCCCCTCCTCTCCCGGGAGCGATTAGCATGCGTGAGGTCAAACAAAGGAAATGATTAGACGTCCTTATTGAGCCTCAACTTTTCCTTATAGAACATCCCCCTTTCCACAAGCTACCATACGCGCATGATTAGGCTCCGCCGGCAGTGTGGAATATTCACGCGGTGCACCGGCGCCTGTCAGAACCTCTTCAAAAGAATTAATGCACGAGGTAGCCCTTCATAGGGTTTAAAAGTCCCTGATGAACCCCATCCCCAGAAGAAAAAACCCCAGGAACCATCCAACCGCCCGCACACGAGAAAGGGAAAAAAAAGTCATTCCCAGTGGTAGGGTGAAGGATTCTGCTGATGGAGTTATTAGCGATTTTTTTTCCCGAGATGCAAAGCCGCAATGGGTGTCCGCAAGCGCCAGAATCACAGGGCTCCACTCACTAAACCCCATCTTGGCATCTAGGTTGACGCCCATAAAGGTTTTTTTTTCGTGTATAAAACCCCATACTCATTGGCAAGATCGTTCTCTCTCCCGTCTCCAGTGCAGTTTAAAGTCTGAATGGGTCCACTGTTGGGGTAGAGAACACTTCCGAAGGCCGTGTTGATGGCTATCCCTTTCCTAAACTAATAGTCAAGCTGACGAATCCTCGGGTCCTTGTCTTACACGTAATTCCCTGAAAGACAAAAGATGTCGGTATCATAGAAAGGAAAAACCCCTAGGATCGGGTAGACATGCCCTTCTAAGCTCGCACAACACTCGGTATCCCTTCAAGAGTCTTGATGCGTCTATGAACATGGACCAGTTTAATCCTTTGAGCTCATCACAATGGCGGCGTTTAAATTCACATTTTCTATCACCTCATCAATTGCATTCACCACACGTTGTAGTAGTGCGTGGCTACCATCGGTATCGCTCAAAAACCACTTCCCGGTATTCGCCTTGTCCTGTGGCTGCATACGAAACCCGGCCAAAGAAAGCAGATTGGAAAGTCCGAAATGTTCGATTGGTTTTAACTTTTTGATATACGTTTCGCTTTGGGTGGAGAGACTACGATACTTTGCATTTCGGGGGTGATCCATAACATTTTGAAGCGCCCGCCGCAATAACTCAAGACCTTCCAAGGTCATCTTAACGCCCTTTTCGTCGGCGCAATCGCCAAGGAGCTCATTGCTTTCAAGCATGCACCGGGTGAGAACTAGGTCCTCCTCTTCCTTTTCGGTAAGCGATGACCGGGTATTTAATAACCCTTGAACGGCAGACGGCGTCGAATGAGCCGGCGTCGCGTTGGCCACGGATGTGGAAGGTGAAAAAGAAGAGGAGGAAAAAGCCCCCCCCCCTCCCCCATGCGTCCTACCGCCCACCGCCCCAGAGGCCGAAGGGGATTGACCAAATAGCGGCCCTAGCATCTTCCCAAGGGGGGTGCTCAGCAGCATCGGAATCATCTCGCGCACATCGCTCGGGATATCGCGGGCTAACAAAAACCGCGAGGCCTCCTGCGTGAAGTGATTGCAATTATTACGCAGTAAATCATAGCTGTTGGGGCCGAAATTGCCATCCCCATCCTGCGTTTTTTGCTGAACCCATAACAAAAACGCCGATTCGCTTCGCTCGGTATTGCCGAGCTGTTCGGTGCGATAAGGTTCCCCAAAACGGGTATGCGCGGGATGGGCCTCTCGCACGATGCCCACGCCCCCATCGAAGTAGAACTCATGCCCAAACACCACTATGGATGTATGCCAAATGCCCTCGAGTTCTCTGCCGATGAGAAACCCGCTCATGGAGCGCGCCATGCCATTTGAAATGTCATATCGGTAGAGATACACAGGGTGCGGCATGTGGGGGTGGTTGTCCTATAATCTGCTAGGGGAGAAACTTAACAAAAAGGTAGTAAACTGATCGGTGTGATATAAACCTGGCATGGATAGTAGAATTGCCGTAAATGAAATAGATTGATAATAATAATAATAAACTTTCGGTGTGCATGGATAGCATTTAAAAGAACAAAACCATAATCCATTTCGCTACTTCGAACTTTTTGGAGGAATATATAAGCTATCAAGGAAGTCGTAGGTGTCAACGCTTCATTTTTTTGCATAAACCCAACTGGTGTACACTATTTAGAAAGAAAACAGCTAATCGATGGAAGCATATTCCTATGATTGATCAATGACATGAAAAGATGATGGGTCACTAAATCTGAAGTATTTGTTCATCCATAAATGTTAGTGTCTTGCTCCGTTTTCGCCTTGCCTTAGTTTCCTCTGTTAGCGGGTCCGGCACGTCGAGATATGAAAGAATCTGATCCAAGTCCTTTTGCAGTTGCTGCTCGATTTGTGGGATTTCCGCTAAACCATTAATATAGGCGCTCCTCAAATCTTCCACGCAACGGCCGACAGAAGGAACATCTTCACAGGAGTCCTCCATCGCGTGAAGCCGCCTATACCCCCCCTCGGTTTTTGCATTGGATGCGTAGCAATCCCCAACCCCCCTCGCCTCCTTTGGGCGTTCCATCCCTACCCCGTATGAAGAAGTCAACGACTTGTTTCGATTACCCCCATAAGAACTATTCAACAAGGTGGATTCCGATTTGGCGACTTTAGCCGTTTCAAACAGTTCATTATCCTCTCGTTCGCGTTTGATAAGGTCAGAGGCGGCGCCTCCATGGCCTGACGTCTCGCCTTTTCGCCCGCAAACCGGGCATTCGCCATCAGCCATGGTCATCCCCTTCGAGGCCTCCAGGCAGGTTGCGCAGGCGGGGAGATCACAACACGCGGTTCGCACCTCGCGGAAGACGGCCAAATCGCACAGAACGCAGGTCGGCGGCTTCGCATCCGCCGGGGGCGCCTCCGGCAATCCCCGCCGTCCGCGGCTCAGGGGAAACGTCTTCATCGCCAGGGCCGCGGCCCGCTCAAACCCGAGGGGGTCCACCGCGGCGGGCTGTTGATTCGGCTTCGCGGCCTCCGCGCCGCGGTGGTCCGGCCGCCCGGCGCGCTCGAGCGGGGCGGACAACGGCCCGGCCGGCGCCATCCCCAGCTCGGATTCGATCTCCTTCACCAAAAGTTTCTGCTCGAGGATTCGTTGGTGGGTCTCCTGGGTTGTCTTGTCCATTAAAGAGCGCTTCGACACCGTGATGGCGAGGATGTCGTAGGTCCGAAGGGTATCCGTCTCGTGAATGGGGACCGCCTCCTCGATTCCCCCGTCCGGAAGAGTCCCATCGGCTTTTCGGGCGTGATTGGCGTGGGCCGGGGCCGGCAGCTTCACGATGGAGAGTTTGAAGGTGCTTAGATTTATTTGATGCTCCGTGATCACGGCTTGTAAAAGGCGTGCGGCGGTGATGGACTCCCCTGGGAAGCCTAGGGTCAGGTACCGACCCGATGCCGCAGGGTGGGAGCCTAAAAGTCGGTAGCGAATCAGTCCTTCGGTTTCGTTCATTGCGGTTGGGTTTTGCATCTCGATGTATTTAGAATATGCCTCCCGAATTCTCTTAGTGCGCTTGCTAAGTCGGTAAGGCAAGGAGTACACATTTAGCATTCAAACAAGCTTGGGAAGTGACCAATACATTACACAACATCAAACTAAGGGTAGTTCAAGTTCGAAGATTAATAATACACGGTTTCAAAGAATGAGTAATGAATTTCAAAGGGAGGGGGGGGGGGGGGGTAAAATAGCCCCCAAAGGATAATCCGATACAAATACAGACACACACAAAAAAGACTTAATGATGAAATTCATACCCATCGACTACTTTACATCCAATTCCTTATAGCAACCGAAGGTGTACCCTTCCCCCTTCGCCTGTCCTGTGGGACTATACACCGCATTGCGTGGAGTTAATCGCAGATTTTAACCCGCCAGTGCGTGATGGGATCACTGGTCACGCAGTCTAAAATTCGCCCATTCCCGGTCGCCGCCGTTCGTTGGCGTGTGCTGGTGACCGGCTCCGCCTTGTAAAAGGTACTGCCGTCCTTCTCCACACAATAGGTCTCGCTTTCCTGGTAGGCCGATTGCTTTGCCCGAAGCTGCGCGATCGTCTTCTCGGGGGACTCGTTGCTGTAGCCCATCGTCTTTAAAATGTTAAACCCGTCAAATTGGTTCTTGGGTTTGGCAAAGAACGTCTTGGACTTCTCGCAGGTATCCACAATGTAGGTCGGGCGCTTCTCCGCCATCATTTTCTCGTGCTGGTCCACCTCGGTCAAGACGGCCGGCGTCTGCTGTGCTTTGGACTGCAGCTCCAGGCTCAACAATTCGGTTGATTTCTTGAACAATGAGCGATCGGTGGGGTAATATTGGGGCTCGGGGGGAAGATAATCGGCATGCAAAACGCTTTCGTTTTTGAAAATGGTCTGGCAACCTGTGAAGATGTCTCGGAAGTCATTCAGCGGGCGCCAGGCGTTGCGGGCAACATGAAGCACCCAAACCCGCGCCCGGTCTTGACCTGACTTGGTCAGGACTTTGCCATAATATTTTATAAGAAGTTTGGCCTCTTCTTTGGACTGGATGGCATTGTATTGCGTGGAGTATGTCGGGTCCGGCTTGGTTGCGTCCTGGGCATAAATTTCGGAGCAAATACGACGGAAAAGATCGCGTTGCTGCCCCGTGGCACCTAAGTTATACCAATACTCAACATGCTCACGCCATTCGGGGAGAAATATAATATAATACGCCTCATTCATGAGGTGCCATTTCGTAGAAGGAACCCTCAGCTTGGCTTCAAGAAATTTCCTTCGGGTGTTCATAATATACGTTTATAAAAAATCTAAATTGGAGACTTTTTAATCAGGCTAAAATTCCTCTTGAGCAAATTTATATTTGTAAAGAGAATCTGATACGTTAGTCTAACGTTATATATACTCCTATTTTTAAAAAATCATAGAGCAGGACAACAAAACAAATTGAGAAGAAAAATAGACTGCAATGACTGTTCCGACCACTTTAGCATACCATTAGTAATATTTACATGACAGTAGATAGATCAAAAAGCAATTCTGATATTTCTGACATTGACAAATAGTATTAAGAACAGTAAAAATGAAATATATAGATGCACTATTTACACATATTCTCTAGTTGAATTATTTTGCTGAAGACAAAAATGAGGGAGAGTTCAGGCTCTAAAATGCAGTCGTTAACGGGCCATTAAAAAAAAAAGGCAACAAATCCTTTTTAGGGTATTTTATACATACATTGTGTGGCACATAAGCTCGTCCCTTAGCCACATTTCCTTAGATCTACATCAAATGACAAAATAATCAACACCAAAATATAACAATAAAAAACCCTTCATGAAACCTTTCACGTTATTATGTTAATTCTCCTCTAATTTGTCTTCCTTCTAATGGTATATTAAGATAAAATACAAACTGAGTGTTGTCTATTTCATCGGAGACAGAAGCCGTTTCGTTTTTTTTGGTGGGGTTTCACGCGCCTGTCCTCATCGCGCACTGCGGTCGAGTACCACAGGAACTACAAAGTTATCTAACATATCGCACACCAAGTTCTCCTTTTCGACCGGGTCGGTGGGGTCTCGCGGGGGCAACGCCGCCTCCCGCTCCCGCTCCCGATCCACCGCGACCTGCAGGGCGCCTTCCCAGACTACCTTCTGGAATACCTCCTGGAGGAAGGTCGAGGCGGTGGTTTGGGCCGTGCGGACGCGGGCCTTATAC